ACTTTATAGTTCAAGCTGGCCCTGAACTCACTAAATAGCCTGAGCTGGCCTTGAATTTGTGGCTATCCTCCTGCCTCAGCCTCCCAACTGCTGGGATTACAGGTGTGCACCACCACGCCCAGCTTCTCACTACTTCTGATGTGAGAGGCAGGAACCTCTTGCTCCCAATTCTTGTTATACTTAGATCTTGTGTTTTATTTCTAATTTTAACGGCATAATTTTAACCAGGCAGGGATTTTTTTTTAATGTCAACTACTTCAAATCAGTTTTTGGAAGCAACCCAGGCAGCTATATTAAACCCTATCTATCTTTAAATGCACACACACTCTTACAAATGCACATACGCACACTACACATGTACATCTGGCCTAAAGACTCCCTGGCTCTTTGCTTCCTAGGATTCTAGCTCCTCCACATCCTGCCCTCTCTCAGCTGGGAGGACTGTACCAGGAGCCCGGTGCGGGATGAAAACAGGACAATTCTGTAATGTAACCTCTTTCTTTCCCAAGTCCCTGGAGATCTGTCATTTTCCCACTGACACAGGGGGCGAGAGGCCCATAGAGAACTGGACAGGGGCAGCAGCCTCAGGCCCTGGGCCATTGTGGGAAATCTAGGAAATATACTTGATCTTAGCCAAAGGGCCAAGAAGCGATTAAAACCTAGGAAAAAAAGAGAGTTAGATCTCAGTCCCAATTCCAGCGTCATCGTTTGTTTTCCTCCTAGGAAACTTTAAGTTTCTTGACTTGTCTGATCCTTAGTTTCTTTCCTCAAATAATGGAGAGGAAAAAGTACAAGCTACCTCACACGTCGTAAGGATGGAGGAGCACGGAAAGTGCCTGGTGTACAGTCAGGGTATAAAAGTGGTCTCTACCTTCATTGCTTCCTGCTCTCATCGAGTGGTGACCTCAAGCCCATCCTCTGGGAGGTTGTGGGTAACCGAGGGGAGAGATATTCTCAGTACCACAAAGGAAACTATCAAAACAAGAAGTCGGTATCTACCCATCCATTCACCTGCCAACCTACCATCCATCCACTCATCCCCTTACCAACTCACCGTCCATCTGTCCACCTTCTGTCTTTCTCATTTATCTGTCCATCTATCACCCACAGGCTCTCCTGTCTGTCGCTGTATCTATCTGTCCATTTATTTAGCTATCCACGTATCCATCTATCTATGAATTCACCCTTTACTTACCCTCTTGCCCCCCCCCACACCTAGACAACTACTTTTCCTTAGCACCTACTCAGTACTAATAGAGAGAAAGGAAAGGAAAAGCACAAAACATAATCTTTGCTTTTCCCCCCTGCGGTGCTAGGGATTGAATTCAGGACCCAAGGCCTCACGCAGACCACGTGAGCACTCCATCACTGCGCTACAATGCTGGCCCGTAATCTGTGCTTTTAAAGAATTCTTGATTCCCAGGAGAGGGGAGATGCGGTTAGATAATTTTCCCATGTGCATCCCCGCATCAGGGCAGCGTACCGAAGAAAAGAAATGTGGGGAATGATGCCGGTAAGGTCCTCCTCTGAATGATTCACTCCTCACATGATTAGCACATTAAAAGATCTGACAAGTCCTGCAGTCAGGCTTTCTTTGCCACTGTGGCCTCCGGAAACTATTTTAAGAGGATTGCCTGTTAAAACCCCACGGAATGAGATTGCTTCCCAACAGATTTTTGGGAAGTGCTGATAAACCACAGAAGAAAGAATCAAGTGGCATTTAAAAAAGCACAGAGTGGGGCTGGATTATGCCTCAAACTATAAAACAAAAAAAGTCCATGGGTCTATCCTGATACAAAGAAATGATAAAGAGAGCATCGTCCCCTGCAGAACAGTTCTGTATAATTTATGTGGATCCTCTGTCGTCAAGGAGGGGGAGTGAACTCCAACCCCCGAAGTTGGGATGTGGGCAGTGGCTTCCTCGGAAAGAGGGTAGAGTGTAAGCGGGGAAGCACAGTCACCTCCCAAGTGGAGAAGCCTGACAGTCACCGTCCACTGCATGACAAAGGCTCAAGTAAGCAGCAAGAGGTGACCCAGGCCCTGTGGACTCTGATGTGATGTGGTGGGAACAGTGCTTTCCCTCTGGGCTCAACCTCTCCAAAGAGCTCCCCACTCCCATCTCACCTCAGAAAAACATCAGGCAGAGCCAGGTGTGGTGGCGCACACCTGTAATCCCAGCACTCGGGAGGCTGAGGCAGGAGGATCTCTGTGAGTTCGAGACCAGCCTGGGCTACATAGTGTGTTCCAGGTCAGTCTCAACTACATAGTGAGATCCTGTCTCAAAAAACCAAAAAAGAAAAAAAGGAAAACATCACACCAACCCCGTTTTGTGCACCTGCTGCAAATTGCCTGATGACAAGGTCATCCGAACAAGGAACATTTGAGAATGCTCCCGGAAGACAGGGGTGGGGTGCTCAGCAGTGAGGACAAAATGTGGAGTGGTACCTGGGTGGGGTCCCGGAACAGAAAAAAAACAACACATCAGGTCAAAACTAAGGCTATCTGAGTACAGCTTTGAATTTACTCGATACGCATGTGTCACCTGTTGTGGTGGCCCAGACCTGTAATCCCAGCACTTGGGAAGCTGAGGCAGGAAGATCATGAGTTCAGGTCCAGCCTGGATAATTTAGTGACTCAGCAAAATCTTGACTCAAGACAAAAAATAAAGAAAGGACTGGGGGTATAGATCAGTGCAAAGGCCCTGGGTTCCCAGCAGCATGCACATTCTCCAAGTATTAATTTGGGTTAATTCACTCTGGCAAGCGTACCAACCCGATATAAGCGGTTAATGACAGGCGAAACTGAGCGCAGAGTTGTCACTTTGCGAGCTGACTTACTATCTACATAATTTTTCTGCAGATCTAAAATAAGTTTTCTGTAAATTTGAAATTTAAAAATTAATTTGAAAATAAGTAAAGTACATGAACAAGTAAACAAAGCTTTGGAAAAACAAGGAATGTAGCTTGGAGAAGAGCCCAGAGGACCAGTGTGTCCTGCCTTGGAGGAAAGTTGTGAAATTATCGAGGCCTGGGGTCTATACTTTTCCTATCACCTACTTTGGGCAGTGGCTCATACACTTCAGTTCCCTTGTATGAAAGAAAGGGGATTTTAGCCACGTGTGGTGGCGCATGCCTGTAATCCCAGCACTTGGGAGGCTGAGGCAGGAGGATCACTATGAGTTTGAGACCAGCTTGGGCTACATAGTGAGTTCCAGGTCAGTCTCAACTACGTAGTGAGACCCTGTCTCAAAAAAACTCCCCAAAAAAGGTTTGTTTGTTTGTTTGTTTGTTTTTTGCCATACTGGAGATTGAATCCAGGGCCTTGCATGTGCTAGACAAGTGCTCTACCTCTGAGCTATATCTCTAGCCCTTTTGATATTTTATTTTGAGACAAAGTCTAGATAAATTTCCCAAGCTTACTTTTGAATTTGAGATCTTCCTACCTTAGACTTCTAAGTAGCTGGGTTTACAGGCATGTGCCACCATGTCCTGCTAAAATGAGGATTTAAAATGCCTGCTATTTGTTGATTTGGATTAAGTGAGGCAAAATGTATAAAGTGCTAGGCTCTAGAACGCTCTGGGACTGTTTGAATTACTGTATTATTATTCTTGGCAGAGTACATGGAAGATCTCAGAAGGCTGAAGAGAACAGGGACCTCGGCACCAAACTTTGGAGAATGGGAAGAATTTGGATGGAGTTGGGAATGAGGGATCAGTTTCCCTCAGTGCAGAGTGGTCCCTCCTTCCCTCCTTGACTTCTAACCTTTGTCCAGAGCAGCCTAAGGAGCTTGGGAGGCAGGGTCAGGGGAGGACTCAGAAACAGGATCCTGGCTTCCCACCTGGGCTTGCTCTCTGCCTGCCTGGGTCTCTGGGCTAAGTAATCGCTAATTCCTCCCTGATGAAGCACCTGTACTGTAAGCAAATGAGCTGACAGGTGGTGGCCTGGATAAAATATGACCTGCTCAGCAGGGGATTTGCTTACCGGTTGGAGGCAGCCCATCCTGCCGCCTGCAGCGGGAAGCCTCTTGGATAAAGCATAAATCACAGGGCGGGTAGGAGGGCAGGAAGCACAGGAAGAGTGAATTCCTCCCCGCTCAGTCTCTGGTCGCAGGCCTAAGGCCACCTTTCTCAGTGGCTGTGGAAAAGAACCAGGTGTGGGAATTAGGAAACGGAGGGAGTTCGTCCTGGCTCCACCTGATTTGCTGGGAAACCTGGGGCTAATTCCTTCCCCGGTCTGGGCCTTAATTTTCAACTCCCTCACATAGAAGAGATTTATTATTCTTTTTTCCCTTATGGGTTTGTTACATGAATCATAAGAGAAACTATATGGAAACACGGTATTTGTTATCATCTGTATTATTACTAGGTTGTGTGTAGTTCCCATGGAAGCCCCAATTAACAGAGCTCAGGGGCTGGTAAGTTTCTAGGGGGCTGGTAGCTTTAGGGAATTGACTTCAAGGCTATAGAATCTATCGGCTGAAAATGGATCAAAATAATTTTCCAACAGGGCAACATTATATATGGAAAAGCTCATAGTCTGGGAGCATCAGACCTTCAGTCTTACCGCTGCCACTCAGTGGCTGAGGGCACTTAGGTGGGTCACCTTCTCCCCCGCCCGAGCCCCAGGAAAGCGGAGGAATAGCCTTTCAGTGTGTTTCAGAGGTTTCAGCGGGATGACGTTCCAATGGACCTGCGCATAAATTGCAGCCTGATAAAGGGTTCATTCTTCCCCTATGCAAAATACGGGGAGAACCAGGCTTACAAATCAGGTCTTCTAACTCTACTCAGCTTTTTGCAGAGACCTGAGAAAGCTCTGAGGACTCTCCAGGCCTCTGTGTGATTCCCCCCACCACACCACCAAGTAGACCTGGAAGAAGACCCCTTGGGAAGCGCTCCGGCCTCGGGGCTGTGGGAACTGCGTGATGAAGACAGAGTGGTTTGCTAATACCATGTGGCTGCTGTGACAGTCTGTTAATGCCATTTACAACGTGCTGTAATTATGTCTCACACATGCTGGAAGCCCAGCCAGCAGGAACCTTCCCTGGGAGGAGCCTAGGAAAGATTCCTTTTAGCAGGGTGGGAGGCTGGGTTTCCCTAGGAGGTTGGGAATTGGGGGGGGGGCTAGAAGGAGAAAAAACACCTCCCTTAATCTAGCAGGACCTGGGGTTGGGAGGCTGCCAAGCACACTGTTGCCCTTAGGAATGTCCCCTGGGGTTGTGCACTGAACAGCCTGCCCCACCCCACTTGGCTGCCCTTAGCACCTGAGAATTTGCCCCTGCTCAAACCTGTGGTTCTCACTCTGAATTGCTATAGAACTTTGGGCATGTCGTGGCGCCCCTCTGGGCCTCAGTTTCCCTGGCTGTAAAGTAGGGATGTGGGGGAAGATGAGAGAAGTGTACTATGTCAATAATTCACATCCGATCAAAATGTTTTCTCCATTCTCAGGGGACTCTCAGGTCACTGAAGTCTACTGAGAAGCTCCAAGGACCTTAGGTCACGAATCTCAATCTAGATCACTAAGGACTTTCTGCCAGCATATTCCAGCCTGTTTCCCCATCTGGGCTCCAACGCTGTTTTCTGCCAGATGTTGCTGCTATGTTGTTTGGTGCATAGGTGTTCATAACAGCTAGCTGCTCACCTGGATTGGGCTTCTTATCTTCTAGTGTCGGGGTTGGGCTCTTAATGCTTCTTGCCCCGGATTTAATGGGCCAGCTAATTCCTGCAACACTGCCCAAATGCTGGCACCAGAGGTTCTTGCCATTTGGTGATGCGTAATGTTCTCCAGATCCCATAGTCAGAGCCCAGCTCTGAAGCCAGACAGGTCAGAGACTCTCTCTATACTTCCTTGCTGGTGAGATACATGGTTTCTCCGAGCCTCAGTTTCCCTCTCCAGGAAGTGGGCTGTCATCAGAGTCAAATGAATCTATGTCCCTCAGGTGCCTAGATCAGAGCAGATACTTAATACAGGTCAGTCTTTCTGCCACCATCACCCACCACCCCACAGAGCTCAGCTTCTCCTCTTCCTTCTTGGAGGAGGCTGAAAACAAGTCTCGGGGAAAAAGCTTTCAGGACCAGGGAAGTCTATTTCCAAGTCATTAGTCCCCTAGTGTTGGGCTGCAGGATGGATTTTGATCAAGAGCGGGGTGACATTTGGCAAAAGTTGCTGATGAGGGATTGAATGATTAATCGTCATGACAACCAGGCTGGAGTAATGACAGGGATGCGATGGTGCCCGAGTTAAACACAAAGCAGCCCCGAGAGCCGGGGCGGTAAATTACTAGGCATGTCACTGCTGCGCTTTTGGAGAAAGCGGCCGTGCGTTCCTAATGAGAGGTTAACTGTGTCCCCAAAGTAATTACAGCCGATTGAAGAGGTGGCTGGTAATTAGAGGATTAGCAGCGATGAGGCTCACCTGCGTGGTTGCCATAGTGATGGAGGTGGGTGGGGCGGGAAGGCGAGGAGAGTCCAGATCTCTCACGGAGGCAGGTGAAGGGGCCTCTCTGGTTCTACAGGCTTGGTGTCCACCACCCCGAGACCCACCCTGGGGAACCGTTGGGAAGCCTCTGAGGCTCAGTCTTCCCATCTGTAAAATGGAGGGCTTGAACCCATTCCCGAATGTGGAATGACAAAGCTGAAATTCTGAAACCAGCTAGCAGACCCCAAATAATCTTTCATCTGCCACCCTCCCTCCAAGGCCGGCACTGCTGGAACCCAGGGCATCCCATGCAAATTCCACTTCTTGGGTAAATCATGAACCTCAGTCTACTCACCTTTAAAACAGGAAAAATAATTACGATGTTTTCTTCCAAAGACTGTTTGAAGAATAAAATGAAACCCTAACTGCTGAGCACCCAGGCCGGTTCCTGGAAAGAGCTCTATAAATGTTCGCAGTGACAGTCACCTACCTTTATGGGAGACCTAGGAACGGGGGCCTCAACCTTCTGTTGGGAGTGAGCTGAGCAGTCTCAGCAGTAACAGATGACAGGGAACTCCAAGGCCAAGAAGGACGTAGTACTTGCTGTGCATCTTTTGTTAAGTCCCATTGTCTCTCTGAGACTTCCAATCTTGCCTGTGCGACCATTTTGTCGGGAGAAAGCCATGATTTATGGAATACTTACAACGTATTACACCCTCACTAGATACTTTATAGTTATTATTTAATTTGGCCCCATAAAACATTACTTTGACTTTTTTTTTTTTTTGTACCAGCGATCAAACTCAGGACCTTGTTCTTGCAAGGTGGGTGCAGCGCCACTGAACAAAATCCCTGGCACTGCTTTGCCCATTTTTGAGAGAAGAAAAACCAAGGCTCAGAAAGGTGAAATTTGTAGTCCAGAAACCCACAGCTGAAGCGTGAAAGAATTTAGAGCCTAGGTCAGACCAAACTCCCGTCATTATTTTATCCCAAGAAGCTAGGCCCATCAAAGCTAAGGAATGGTCCTGCCCCCTCTATGGGAGGAGCTTCAGAGAGGCTCTCCTGGGATTGGCCAAGGCTTTTATGACATCACAAGGGCGGGGCAGTCTTACTGACCAGCCTAGGCAGCTGCTCCAGGGGCTGGTGGAATCTTCACGCCTTAGGGGCAGGTGTAAGATGCTGAGGTTGGGAGGTGACAGTGAAGGTTCCAGATCTGTCCTCTGCTTAGCTGCTGGCAGCGCAGGCCTCTGTGAACCCGCTGAGAGCAGTGGCTTAATGATCCCATCCATAAATGATAAACCCCGTTCATTTCCACGGCTTCATGACAAATTTACGGTCCTATTTAATGTGCTCATGGCCGGACCTTCCCAGGGACCATGGCGAAACCCAGGCCTTTTCTTGAGGGTGCAGCAGGAGATTCTTGCTGAGGTGCCCACTGGCCATGCGCTGCTTCCCACTGTCCCCAGAAGCTACGGGGCCTCTGATCCCAGGTGGCCTGACCCCGTGCAGTTTACAAACCCCTTTTTCTCTGCTTTGCTTCTCTGTGGAAGCACTGGAGTTTAAAAGCTAAGGGGAGAAGATCTAGTACTTAGGAGGCTGAGGCAGGAGGATCCGTGGGAGTTTGAGGTCAGCCTGAACTCCACAGTGAGACCCTGTTAAAAAAAAAAAAAGGTCACGATACTCAGGATCAATCTCGACTGCTACTTCTGTACATAAGAACTTAAGCCCAAGTTTTGTCTCAGCTTCCTGCTTAGGAAGGTAAAACGAGGTAAAAACAGACAGGAAATACTAAGTATGTACTCAAGGCAGGGAAGTGTCTTCTCCTACTTGGGGTTTTCACATATAATTTCATTTGATTTAATTTTCCAGGGGCGGGGGATGCTGCTTAGGGGCCTGGTTGACCCTGAGATGGGTCACATCTGGAAGTAGAGGGACAGCCTGGGCCACTATGCTGCCGCACTTCTGTTCTGAGCAGAGAAGTCCGTAGACAGTGCTGGCTGCAGGGGCTCAGCCCAGAGTTAGCAGGGTCTGGTGCCACTGTCAGCCCACTCCGCTTGGGGCTGGTCGGGGTGACTCACGCCTTACCCTGGGTCTTGCTTTTCTCATCTGTTCCCAGGTCTGCATTCACAGTTGCCACAAGCCGGAGAGTCCAGCATAGGCCAAGAATAGCAGAATCACCATTTGGGGGCTGATTTCTGGAACCTATAAAGGGCCCTCCAGTCCCCATGGCTGACTGAATCTGAGGCTGATGGAGGAAAATCATAGAGCCACGGGACCTCAGGGTGGGCAGAGATCTAAAAGAGCACCTCTTTCAGCCTTGATGGCATAGCTCGCCATGCATTGTCTCATCAGCCCCACCTCAACCAAAGATGGGCCAGGTGTGGCTCACTGCACTTTGAAAAGGTGAAAAACAGGCTAAGAGAAGTACAGAGACTCGGGCAAGGCCACAGCGCCATCCCATGTGGCTTAACTATGGGAATCTGCGTATTTGTGCACGCATTCCCATGTTAGTAGGAATGTTGGTGCCCACGCATGTGGCTGTGTGTGCACATATGTGATGTGCCATACCCATGTGCACCCTCCACGGAACACATCTCCCGACTACCCTTTTTCTGGGCACCTTTAAACACCTGGTTGGAGAAGGAAACCTTTCAACTTTGGGAGTCTCTGGCTTCCCAGATCTTAAGAAATTAACTTCATCCGCATGCTCATTTGCACGACAGGGCAGTACTTCTCTCCACAAGCAGCCTACATTCTGGCCAGGGAGCCATGATATTGACCCTTCCGTTGCCCACGACTCTGCCACTCTCCACCCACTGCGGGTGGCAGAGCCAAGTCTGGTTCTTGGCCTGAGGACTCCAGATCCAGTGCCCTTCCACGGCTCCGTCCTGCCTGCAGCCTCCAGGTGGACGTGGTGGTGCAGGGAATCAGGCTGGGGATCAGGGAGAAGAGCTGCAGAGCTAGTTCCTTGACCTGCTGGCCCAGGAGGTGGCAGGAGCAGGTTCGGGGGAGGGAGGGGCAGGAGGACTCTGTGTGTTTGTGTGTGGATGCATGTGTGTGCATTTGTGTGTGTCACGTACACACAGGTGTGGAAGAGTATGTTCAGTGAACCTTTCAACAAAATGACTCAGAGCCTACTCTGCTTCAGGCCCATAAACAATGATAACTACATAACAACAGGCATCTAAGGCTTGTGAGGCACCAAGCAAGTGGGTTCCATGAACTCACCTAACCCGTGAAACAATCCTGTGCGATGGGTGAGGTTACCATGCCCCCTTTGCATATGGGAAAATAGCACAGTAAGGTAATGTAAGCTGCGCAAGTTCACACGGTTGGCAAGTGGTACAGTTCAGAGTTCCATCTGGGCCCATGGTTCTTGGACCCAACCATTACCACTCAGGAGACCTTGGGAATCCCAGCATGGCAGAAATCTGTGATGGTGTGTGCACACCTGCTACACGTGTGTGCAAGTGCACATGAATGAGTGTCTATGTACACACATTTTCCCACACGTGATAGGCACTTCCTGTATGTGCATATCCACCTGAAGGTGCCTGCGAATGTGGTTGTGCACATATGTGTGAATGTGTGTGTGTATGCAATTGTTGTGCCTGCACATATGTCCATGTGTGTGTACAGGTGCATGAGAGGCCGGGAAATCGCATCCCAGGTCAGCCTCATTGCCAGTGGTCTGAGAGCCCTGTGAAGGTCAAGGTCATACAAGGAGGGAGCAGGGTGGGGCTTTGGGTAGCCTGGGCCTAAGAGCTCCTTTTGCCTGGGTGGCGAGAAGGGGGCTTTCCAGCTGCACATACCCATCATCCTGGCCTCCAGGAGACATTAATAATAGATCAGCAAATTCCAAATGTAAATAGGGCAATCAGGCCCGAAAACACAGGCATTCATCACCCAGATACAAATTATGCTGCCGGCCCTGATGTAATTACTGGAGTTCAGCTCGATGCATTGAGCCACCCCTGCATATTGCTTTGTGCCGGTGCCCTCCCCAGAGGAGGCCCTACCACCTGACCCTGCAGGGTCTCTCTGGCCATGGCCCCCTCAGCTGTCTCACATAACCACAAGGACAGAAGATCCCTGAAATTCTGTACTTTGAAGCAGTGCTTCAAAGACTGTGGAGGGAGGTGCACCAGTGAGTCAGGTGCCTGGTTCTTGTTCCAGCTTTCAAGTGACTTGCTGTGCTACCCTGAGGGGGTCACTTACTCTATTTGAGTTTTAGTTTCCTTTTCTGTCCAAAAGAAATAACAATACTGTATAAGTATTAGAGTCTCTGGGCTTTGTGGTGAGAAGGGCTTGGCTTTGAATCCCCAACCTTACCACTCTTGAGTTAGTACATCTGGGGCAGGTGTCATCCCCATTCTAAGACCCAACTTCTCCAACTGTAAAGTGGGCAAAGTAATGCCTATATCATGGGGTTATTGCAAGAAATTAATGAAATAATATTTTGTTCTTTTCTTTGATGAATTTAACTCATTTACATTTATTGTGATTATGACATGCGTAAAATATTCTCACCATGACAAAAACCTATCTCCATATCTGAATCACCCTTTCCACCTATCATATGCATATATTGTAAATTATGTGGCTGGGTGCTTTCTTGGGTTTCCTATTTATCAGGCTTCCTGCTATTTCCTTCTTTTCTGGGGAGGTCTGCTGGTTATGTATTACCCTAAAACTTAGTGACTCCACACCACCTGCATTTAGTATCTCAGCATTACTATGGGCCAGGGGCTCGGGAGTGGCTTACCTGGGTGGCTCTGGCTTAGTGCTGCAGGAGAGCGCAGTCAAGAGGTTGACCTGCGCCACTGCCATTCGAAAGCTCCGTTGGGACTGAAAATTGCATCCCAAGCAGCTCCCTCCACATTTTTCCCAAGAGGATCTCTCCTTTGGATGAATTGAGTGTCCTCATGCTGTGGCAGTTGATTTCCCCTGGAGAAAACAATCTTCAAGAGCAAGACAGAGATTGCAATGTCTTCAGTGACTGAACCTTGGCAGTCACAATATGTTACTTCTGCACTTGGAGCCCCAGCTACCAGATCTATCTTGTGTTAGACTGAGCCATCATGGGTGTAAATCACCTAGCCCAGGCACCAGGAGAAATCTATTCATCTCTGTGGCCCACATGCCCAGCACTGTGCCTGGCATAAAGAAGGTGCCAGCGACAATGCAATGGCAAGATGAGGTGTGGGTCAGAGCAAAAACTGGTCTCCCTTCTCAGAGCCATTTCCTAGAAGCCAGTGGGCCGCTCAAAGCCCACGCTGTCTCTCTGTGCCACTGCCCAGGACTTAGCTTCGGATGGGCTGAGGCTGTAAGGCCAGAGGCAGAAGGCTCTGCTTTCTCAGAGGCAGAGAAGAAAGTCTAGACCAAAGGCATTTTCCAGGCCTGCCTCGTCCTAACTTTACATTGATCAGTAATTAAACACAGCCTCCAATTACTATATCGTTTGGCGAGGCACCAAGCTCGTGTAAAACTCTGCAGTAAACATCTGCTTTATAAATTGCCTCTCAGAGCAATGAACCAACAGGGTTCTTGGGGGTGGAGAGATGGGAAGCAGAGAGCTGGCAGAAGGAGGAGAGACTTGGGAGAGAGACACAAAAAGAGGAGCGAGAGAGGACAGGAAGAGGAGAGGTGGGGGAGACTGTCCTTCCAAGAAGCAGCGGGGTGTAAGGGATCTACTCATTCTTTTGTGCGACCTCACCAGCCTACGACACAGAGACCTGGAATTGAATTGGAGAACCCTCGTCTCTTCCAGGATTTTGTCAAGAGCTACACACAGATCTAATGCAAACGACTTTTGCGTTGCTTTTTATTTTTCCAGAA